GTGGAGGAGGCGTTAAGAAGACTGAGAAACTGAATGATTTCAATGTGTCTTTGTTTTTTGATCCTTTGATTCAGTGTAAATAATTTTTGTAAAAGACTGAAAGAAATAATAATACTGTGAAACAAAGTGTCATTCTGGTTTGTCTGTCTCTTTGCCTGTCTTTCCTTTCATTTTTCTTTTCTTTGCTCATCTTGTTTCTTCTTCTACTTCACATGCTCATGCTCTTAGTCAATAGTTCTGTGACAATATATATGAGGGGGTTCAGCCTCCTGATGAGTCGGTGAAACTCCGACGAAACAGCTTGCCACAGCCCCTCGTTTGTTGTCCTCTTCTCCCTCCCCTCCCTCTCTGCCTACGGTTTACCGGGCAGCTCTGTTTGACTATATATATGTATATATATATATATGTATGCGAGGCCACTGCCTCTATGAGCCCCATAAGGCCCCATTTTGCAGCCCGTCGGCCGCCCTAAGTGAAGGCAGGCTCGACGAGGCCCTCAGGGCCCTATTCTGGCCACCACGCAACTCAGGGAAATTCAGGCAGTTGCGCAGCGCCAGTTGGTTGAGTGAACCCAGGCCCTGGGCCGCCTGTGTGAATGTATGTGAAGCAGGCCCTGGGCTGGATACGGGTACTGGGCCAAACACAGGCCAAAGGCAGTCGGGCACATGCAACCACCTCAGGCCCAAGGCCTGTTTYCGTCGTGCTGGGCCTCAGGCTACCGGGGCCTACTGGAAGCTTCCTGGGACTGGACGCAGGCAGGCCACTTCGATATAGCAATGGGCCTGCCTCCGTATTCGGCATTCGGGTGCTGGCTGCATGCTGCGCAAGCGCTGCTGCGCTATTTGCTGGCTGGCGCCTACGCTCTCACGGGCGAGCAGGGAAGGAGCACGCAGCCATAGCCGAGCTGCGCTGCTGTAAGCTGGGTGATGCGCAGGGTGGTCCTTGGGTGCTAGTGGCATCTGTGAGTTGGGGGACGAGGTTGTGAGTGTGGCGAGAGACATACCTGGTGCTGGAAGCGAGCGACATTGGTCGCCATATACTCGTACTTCGGGAAAGCTGTTGACGTCGTCTTTCGGCATTGTAGTGTAGGCTAGATAGGATCTGCCACGTGTAGTCTGGGCCGAGCGCCAGATAGGATATCAACTCTGGTTCTTCGTTGATGATGATGGGACTATTTCAGCATTGTCAATTATGAACTCTTGGTGTGTTCTTATTTGGTGAATCTCGTGATGCGATTCTGCTGTTGGTTCGAGGTCACGACTATCTGGACTCGTATGTATGATGCTGTTTGATTGCTGAAGTTCGCTATTGCTCATCTTCCTTGCATGTATATATACATATATATGTATATATCGTCAAATAGAACTGCCCGGTAAACCGTAGGCAGAGAGGGAGAAGAGGACAACAAACGAGGGGCTGTGACAAACTGTTCGTCGGAGTTTCGCCGACTCATCAGGAGGCTGAATATATATGTATATACATATTTGACGATATATATGTATATATAATATATATATGTATATATATATATATATGTATATATATTGTGTGACGATATATATATATATGTATATATATTATGTGGTTGATGCCGTGGAGATGGGAAGGGTATAAGGATTCTCCACAACAGGGTTGAAACCACCAGCACTGGAGAACCTGTTTCGAGCCTCTCCGGAAAATTAGGAGGCCGAGCGGCGTGGATAAAATGAATCGGCGGTGGGCGGCCTCCGAAAGGGGCCCGTGGCGGATAGGTGGGATGTACTGGTGCTTAAGGTGGATTATTATCACTTACAGTGTAATCAGTTAGGGGATTCTGTAGACTGTTGAGGTTTTAACTTCCGGATGAGTCAGCGAAACTGAAGGAATGAATCTCTGCCTTTTGGGGCGACCTGCTGGCTGCACGTGGCCCAGAGCGATCCGGACCGAATTTAACGTTCTCTGAACTAAAACAGCTCAACCCCCCTTACTTTGCCCCCCCTTCCCCCAAATTAGGGTTATCTGAACTAAACAGCTCAGCCCCCCTTATTCCCTCCCCCCCCCCCCCCCCCACAAGAGTTGCTCTATGATCATCGAATTGCGGCGGGGTTGATGCAAACACAGCCACACTCAAGCATTGGATTCGGTATTTCCCCTGCGATGACAGCGGTGGCGCAGCCTTGTTTTAACCCTTTTTCTGAAGAGCCACGAAATTCTTTGGCCTGTGGTCCCCACAAATTATCATGGGAGAGGCGCCCACTTAGGCTAAGATGGGGACAGTCTCTGACTTAAGTCTGTGGAGCACAAGCCGAAAGATCATGTGGAACCGAAACAGGAAGGGATTTGCAGGTCCTATGAATGGAAGCCAAACAGAGCAGTGCAAGGAAAATGAGCGATCGCGAACTGAGTCTCCAGAAACCAAGCAGCATCATACACACGAGTCCAGATAGTCGTGACCTTGAACCAAAAGCAGAATTGCAACAGGAGTTCCACCAAATAGGAGCACAGCAAAAGCTCATAAGTGACAATGTTGGAATAGTCTCATCATCATCAACAAAGAACCAATGTCGACATCCTATCTAGCCTATCTACAAATGGCAGATCCTATCTAGCCTATCTACAATGCCGCTGGTGACGTCAACAGCTCCCCGAAGTACGAGCAGATCTCGGCCAATGCCGTTCGCCTGAAGCACCAGGCATCTCTCTCGTATCACTCACAACCTCGATCCCCCACTCACAGATGCCACTTGCACCCAAGGACCACCATGCACCCCATCCAGCTGAGCGCAGCGCAGCTCGGCTATGGGCCCATGGCTGCCTGCTCTCCCTGCTCGCCCGTGAGCGCGTGGGCCTGGCCAGCGATTAGCGCAGCAGCGCTTGCGCAGCATGCAGCCAGTGCCCGAATGCCGAATCTGGAGGCAGTCCCTTTCCTAAATGGAAGTGGCCTGCCTGCTGCGTGCGGCAAGGCTGCACTGGGCCCCGGCCCAGAAGTCTCCGGTAGGCCCGGAGAGGCTGAGCCTCAGACCAAACGAATCAGGCCCAGGGCCTGTGGTGGTTACCCGTGCCCAACTGCCCGCAGCCTGTGTTAGGTCCATCTTGCGTATCTGGCCCAGGGCCTGCCTCAGGTACATACGATAGAGGCAGCCTGGGCCTGGGCGCTTTCAACCCACTGGTGCTGCGCAACTGCCTGAATTTTCCCCAGTAATGGGCCTAGCAAAAAAAAAAAAAAAAAAAAAGGCCTAGGTCGGGCCTGCCTTCACTTAGGGCGGCCGACCTTGCTGCTAACAGCGCCCAGGAGGGCTTACCAAGGCCTTGTGCCTCGCAACAGGGAGAAGAGAGAGAGAGCCCCTCAAGAG